GTTATTATTTTTATATTTTCAAATTATATATTTTATTATATTCATATTATAAAAATATATTAAATTTATTTAATATAATTTATATATTTTATTATTATTATTATTTTATTATTATTATATTATGTATATATATATTATGTATATTTATATAACTATACGAATCCTTAAATATATACGTGATTAGCGGACTGTTATTATAATATGCTTTTATGTTGTATTCCCCACCAAAAAATCAATCCAATATAATAATTAAATCATATTTTCTAAGTATTATTTATATTGATTTATAAATCAATATAAGTATATATATTGAATTCATATTAATCTCAAAGTAAGTCCCTACAATTTGAGTTTGAATGTTTATACCAAAAAGAACGAAGTCAATGTGCCAGCTAACTGCGCCAGAAAAGTGGAAAAAAAAAATTTGAATGTTAAAATATAAATACAATTTTTTTTTGTTTTAATAATTTCTTTTGAAAACCGCTGTGTAAACAAATTTAACTTTTAGAGCTTTTTAAAAAGCCAAAGAAATACAAATTTTAGATCTTCTCGTATTTTCTTAACCGATGTTAGATATTTTGTTATGTGGAAAGTAAAAATTTCTTGATGATTATAATTATAATTTGATTTTTATTTTAATGAAGTGTATTTATTTCTTTCAGAATCATTATCATGAAGTGATACACATAGACTAGGTTAGCTTAAGTATAAATGTGATTTCGTTTCAAACTTTAAGTAGATTATGCGTGGATTAAGTGTTCCGTCTCCAATAGATTAGATTTTGTGTAGGGTTTTTATGATAAGTGTGTATTTCATTAATCTATTTTTATTAGGATCTTTGTGAGATCTTTATGAGATATTCTTTATTCTGATAGTTTCGCTTCTGATAGTTCTTCACGATTTTATATACGAAGAGTACAAGATTTTGCAAGGATTCTTAGCTATCACTGATAAGTCTATTTTAGTTTTTGATGTACGGATTTTGATTTTATATATGAAGAGTACAAGATTTTGTAAGTCTTCTTAGCTATCACTGATAAGTCTATTATTAGTTTTTGATATATAGTAATTTGAGTATTATTTTAGGTGTTTTCATTATTGTGAATAAATTCCTAATGAAATCATGTTATTTAATTAGAATCTAACTATGTAAATATTATATTGACTATAGATGTCAGGAGCATTTAAATTACGTTGAGAATTTATTAAAAATTACGATTCTTGACATGTTTTAAAGGTTAAAGGCTCATGATGGAGTTCCTACTGTTATAAGACGAGGCAGCCAAACATAATACACTGTTGTTATTAGAAGCAAGTTTAAGGTTTTCAACATTTTTCTGTACCTCCATTGAATCATTAAAATAATATTCTTTTCTTCTCTTTTTTGAACCATTCTTTTCTGATTCCATCAACTAGCTTCAACGAGTTCTTGAGTTTTGCATACAGTAGAATTTCTGCTTATCTTTAGTCTTAATACTTAAGATTATCTTCATATTAAAATGCATCGAATAAATATTTTTTCATCTTTCGTATAAAAATCCGGACATACCAATAGACATACACATAGAATAAACTAATCGGATTTCACTTGCAATAATTATTTCCAATAAAAATTTCTGTTTAATTCCTCCTGACCTTACAACTTTCTTTCCATCTTTCTGGTTTGTGTAGTCTCATATCCTCTTAGAAATTTCCACTTTTATATAGAAAAGTAAGACATAATTTTTCAATGTTAAGTATTTTTAATTACATCCTCTTACGAACCGGTGATTTAGTGATTATAAAATTCCGATTAGATAGAATATTAATTAGAGAAGCAAAACTTAGAAATAAAATGATTCATTAAAATTAGCGAATAAATAATTAATCTTTCCATGCTTTATAAAAACTTAAATATTTTCTTATTACTTTATATAATCATTTATACGATTATGAAGAAAAGTTCTCACACAATTTTTTTTAATCAGATTTTTTTCGTACTCGTAAATTATAATTATTTAAGTTCTTATCATTCAGTACCCTACATACGATGAATTTGAGGTAATACAAGTTGTTGACAAGATGATATTATTTAATAGTTCTGAATATTTTATAATTATGCTATACTACTGAGTTATGTTAATTCCTCGTAAAGAATCGACTCATCAGAAAATTTATTCACTGTATAGACAATTCACTACCCAGCAATTATGATTTAAGAAAGTTACAGTATAAAAAAAATATATATACTCCATTTGAAACCACATAATTCATAATAGGGACAATTTTATTTCATGGAAGTCCGCTAGAGAAAAATACGATTGGATTCAGTTTGTAATCCTCTCATTTTACTTTGAATTAAATCACTTTCAAATTTTGATAAATGTTTACAAAGTCATATTCTCAGTTTATTTCGCTTATAGTCAGTACTCGGCCCAAATACTAACATCTAACTAAATAGCCAAAGTGCCAGTTAACAATACCAAAAAAAATCTAAAATGTTAGCCATCAACATAGAAGCATAAATGTTTCATTTTTAGTCTTAAAAAAATTGGAGTAGTTTTTTTTAATATAAATTTTTTTATTACATATGTCATATAATTGCATGATTTAATTTACAATTAATATGAATATAATATGACATCACCCATTGCTTCAATAAAATAAACTTTTTAACCTATTAGCACAAAAGAAATTATTGTAAAGTAAATATGTAATTAAATATTTTCTTATCATATTTGTTTAAAAATATTAATAAGCAAATAGTGACATATACATCCTGGTATATATACATATTTGTAGAACATACCCGTAACCTATTTTTACTTAAGAAGTACCAAAGTGAAAATTCTGATAAAACTATAAAGTAAAAAAAATTAAATAAATATGGAAAGTGAATTATATATGAATAATTTATGTCATAGTAAAAGATATATTCACTTAGCCTACATATTTTGAACGAGTTTATTTTTACTTTGAATTCATAAATTTTTTTTTTTTATAATATATATTTAGTCATAAAATCTTTTAAAGCAAATAAAGAACTTTTTATTTACTTTTTGAATAGATAAAATTATTCTTATCTACACAGTTCACACGATAACAACGTCAGACCCAATAACCTATTTATATTTCAATGAAAATCCGGAAATTATTAGACATAATTATGCCTTGAAATTTCATTACATTAAGTTGACTATTATTAACATGTGTAAATTTAAATAATTAATCAAGAGAATAATTATAATAAATAAAATAATTAAGAAATAAATATAACAAAATATATGTAAGTATAATTTTTAAAGAAGATATAGAGTAATACTCAGTCATGTATTTGATTCACTGCCAACTAAATAGTATAAATTCATCAAAGAATGTGTTAACGTGTTGACTGCCTCGTACAGCTCAAGATCCCCTCCCAGTAGAAAACGGATCGATCCGTCATCGAAGACGTCTTCAAGACATGGATACATACATGAAGACCGATCGATCCAAATGTATGACGGTCTTTGAAGACACTTTCATACAAATTAGCCAAATGTCTTCAATGAATTTTTGTGTACATGTCTCGAAGACCGTCTCGAAGACCATGTCTTGCATAACGGACGCATTCGACAGAAAGTTGTGCGCTCTTAGTGCAGTGCTCATATAATTTTTTCACCCTTTTTTTATTTCTACTCTTTTATTGCGCTCTTTAAATTTTAAATGAATTTCAATTTTCTCTTTAAATAAGTAGAAAGAAATTGTTGTATTTTGTACTTTTATTTATTTTATATAATAATTTTTTACATTACATTCAAAATTAACAGTTTTAGAAGTAAATTATAAATTTTATTATAAATTATTATAAATTTTATTAAGATATTAAAAATAAACTAGTAAAAACTAGTAAACGTAATACAAATTAATTTAAATAATTAACTTAATATAACTTAACATATCTAAAATTAACTAAAACTAATATAAAATAATTTATAGCATTTCGCTATCATCAATTGTTGAAGTTTTATATGTTTTCAAAAGCGTTGAAGAGGATTTTGGTACAATTAAACATTCTGATCTTAAGAGTTCTAAAATATCATTACTACAACGCCTGTTAATCCTGTGTTTTTTAAATATAACAGCTAATTTTTCACAAGTGTTTTTAGTTTTTTTATTTTCAACATCCTTTGTTTCGTTTCTTAAACAACTTTCACTGGAATTATTGTCTTCAATATTAATATCAATATATTTTCCAGGAACTAAGTCAATATTTAATTTGTTTTGATTTAATTTCTTTTTTTTTTAATATATCATAGTTTAATGATTTTGTTTCTTTATTCATTTTGATTTTTTTAATATTTATTTCACAAATGTTTATTTACTACACTTCAAAATTATTGCGTCACTTCATTTATAAAACATAGCGTCATCTGAGGCAAAATTCAAATAAGTTGCTATGAACACTAAAAATGAGAGAGAAAGCAAAGAAAGAGTATTTACATTCATGTTTTGAGCAATTGTTTTGCAAATTTGCTTGAACATGCGGACGCGGTATCAAAGACCGTCTTGAAGACAATGTCTTCGAAGACCACTTTTT